ACCCTGCTGGGCTCAGGCCCCTTTCCCACCATTCTGAGCAGTGACTTCCACAGCCTCTGGTCTGTGCAGTGGAAGGTGCCCCAGGCCCAGCTGGCTCTGCCCCCCACCCCCCCTCCTCAGGGCTGTGACCTGGCTGGATGATTGCTGGTCACCTGGGGCCAGGAGGCGCCTCCCAGCCTGAAGACTGGGGCTCAGTATGGCAGTGAACCCCTGAACTAGAGCTGGGTGGGGAAGAAAGATGAAATATCACAGCCCCACCCTGGGAACCCTTCTCTGATGGGGTGGTGTCACCCCTTCCACCTCAGGAAGCCCCAGTCTGATGGGGAGACGGGGCCCCTGCCCTGGGAGTGCCCTGATGGAGAACGAGGTTGTGGTGGCTGAATAAGATGGGCTTGCAGGCTCGTGCCCCAGCACCTGGCACGTGGGAGGTGCCTGGCAAATAAATGGTGGCTGCTGGAGCTTATCCACCACCCAGCACAAGCCTCGGGTCTGTGCAGTGGCAGGTCCTCTAGGAAGGTTATCTCCTCCCTAGAGTGGAAGGGCCAGTCTGACGGGTTCCATTGCAGGACTGGGCCATGCGTGCTGGGGTGGGGCCTCTGGGTGGAAGGTAGATTTCCTCTCTCCCCTGGGCTCACACCTCTTGCTTCTTGCTGCAGGCAACGGTGGTTAGGTGTGGCCTAACTATCGAAGGAGATGCTGTATATGAAAATGCCTTGCGCAATACCTGGCCCCCCCGTGGTGCCCACACCTGGGGGTGGGGGCGGGGGAGAGACAGGAACGGCGGGCTGGCAGGCAGGTGGCATTCTGCAGGAAGCAGAGGAACTGCCCGACCCAGGACCCGACCCCAGGCCCTCCCAGCCCGGGGTTCCCGTGGTTATTCCTCAAACCTGGGACTTTCAAAGCCACGGCTTGGACAACCGGCCTTCAGTCCCCAAAGCTGAGAAAGCGGAGAAACCCACAACTCGGCCCTCTCCTCACGCCTCCTCCTGTGGACTTGGCTTTTACCGGAGCCGGATGGTGGGACCCCAGAGGTCCCTGGTATACAGCCAGGTGCTGGGTCCCAGATGTCCCGGCACTAACCGGACCGACCAGGTTAGTGTCAGCCCTATGACCGGGAGGGGGGTGGCCTTTTGCTTCAGATTAACTCAATTCAACTAATATCGACTGATGAGTTCCTCGGCCCTGTGACAGCCCTGAGGACTCAGCCACCCACCAGCACATGTAATTAATAAGGACTTCCCCACTACAGTAGATGTATGGGCAGAGACTTCCCTCCTGGTCACCACTGCATCCCCAGTCACAGAAGGTGATCAATAAATGGTGAATGAATTGAGTGAGTGAAGTGAATGCCTGAAACACTGTTCCCTAAGGGACTCTCAGTCAGTGAAGGAGACAGGCATGGAACCCCCAAGCACAAAACTATTGAATTTGTACACTTTAAATGGGTACATTGGCAGGCATGTGAATCATCACTCAATAAAGCTCTTTGAAAAAAATAGAGAATTGGCTATTATTAAAACTTGAATGGAAAGTTGTAGGTAATGAGAACATATATTACTGTCTTACAACATTCCTACTCATGTAGTCATTACACAGTCACCTGAAGGCCTACTATGCATGAAGAACTGGTGGTCAGGTGAGAGAGGAGTAAAGGATTTCATTCACCAGAGCAGCGATTTTCAACCTTTTTCCCCTCATGGCACACAAACTAATTGCTAAAATTCTGCAGCATACCGAAAAATATATTTTTTGCCTACCTGACAAAAAGAATAGGTAAATTTTGATTCCTTAACACCAGATGGCTATTGTGTTGGCTGTTGCCATGTTTTTATTCGACCAAATAAGGGAAAAGAGGTCAGTGCCCCTGACTAAACAGGTATTGCATGTTTTAAAAATCCTTGCAGCACACCGGTTGACTCTCTCTGCACTAGACCAGAGATAGAGACATCAGTATATATATACATACACACACACCAGGTGTCTGTTCATTCCTCAGAACATTTACTGAGCACTTACTCCAAGTTGAAAAGTTTCACAAAGTAGCAACAGGGATGAGTATGTCTATGTAGTAATAGTTTTAAAGATAATAGGAAATATCTAAGAATAGAAAAAAAACCCTTAAAATATTATACCACATTTAAATATATTTCAGAGACTTGATTTCTTTAAATTATGAGGTTATAGATATGAAATGTTTATAGTCTCGCCCAACTGGCATGGCTCAGTGGTTGAACATCAACATATGAACCAGGAGGTCACAGTTCAATTCCTGATCAGGCACTTGCCTGGGTTGTGGGCTTGATCACCTTTGGGAAGGGTGGGGAGGGTACTGAAGGAGGCAGCCAATCAATGAGTCTCATCACTGATGTTTCTATCTCCCTCTTCCTCTCTGAAATCAATAAAAATGTTTTTAAAAATAAAATGTCTATAGTCTCAATTTTGTCATTTAAAACGTTGCTTGAACAATCTGAGAAGTGATACAAATTATAATGAAACAAGAAAAAAATAGCACCAACTAGTTATAAAAAAAAAGTACCTGTTGCCCTAATCGGTTTGGCTCAGTGGATAGAGCGTCGGCCTGTGGACCGAAGGGTCCCAGGTTTGATTCCGGTCAAGGGCATGTACTTTTGTTGCGGGCACATCCCCAGTAGGG